CTGTTGTTTTATCCTTTTGGTTTTCTATGTGGACATGACTTTTCCATGCTGCCCAACAGAAGGCTGCCAAGTGCTACTCTGGAGCATCAACTGAGCATGAGCTCAGAGTAAAGGATGCTACCAGCTGCACTGCCAGTCCATCCCTGCATCACCACCAAGGGTTTTACACCTTCTGTGAAAGCTAAACAGAGGAACTACTGGCTAAATTCTGCAGGATCACTGTCTAAGTAGAGACGGCCACAGACATAAGCAATAAGCCATTCAATTGCACCACTCACTTTAATGACAACAAGCATTTCATAAAGGTGTGGACCTCGCCCAGATTAGAAGTAGAGATACAAAGATACTCGGAGCAGCTTCTTCTTCCTCATGGAAACCCATCTGTTACACACTATGTGGGTTTTCCTGTAATGATTTATTTAAACAGAAGCAATCAAAAGGTTCAGCTCCTCAGTTTAGAATCAGATAATCGCTCACATGGAGGATGAAATATAGAAACAATATGGAAAGACTATTTGGTGAAGAAAAACTAACACTGAGGAAGAACATTAAAACCACCACCTGAAAAAATCAGTCAGCAAAACATGGAATCATTCTGGTTATGTCATAGGCACATGGGTTTGTGTCATACTTAGTTGGTATTTTTTGCAACAATTTAAAATGGTGTAAAATTATTAATAATCTTTAGACATCTTCAAATAGTATTACAAAGACCACTTACAGAGAAAAATAGAGAAGCATTTGTATTACAGATATCATTAAAAACAAATATTTAAACAAACAAAACCAGGTAGGTTTCCCAGTGCAAAGTACACTGCATGTGTTTGTATTGCAAGACTTTCTGTGTTGCATCTATCAGAATAAAAAGGTCTTTGAAATAGAATAAAACTGCTTTGTACCAAATGGTCATTAACACTGTGATAAATCACATCCTGTACAATTGTATATGAAGCACAGAACCTTCTTTTCATAAATATTTCAGTATACAATAGCGAGTATTACATTAAGCAGCACCACTAGTGGTTCTTGCTGTCCACACAGTATTAAGTTTTAGACTAATTAATTGCATCCTTCACAACAGTCAAATGTTCACCTTTTGGAACAATGACTATAAAAATACCAGAATTTTTATTATTCTTTGAAGTACATCCTGAACACATTTATTCCTAATTAGAATTCTAAAGCCAAAACATTGGGGTTTATTTTATTTTTTAAAAAGCAGATTTTAAAAAAATGAACTCCAATAGGTTTTTCTTCTGTTAAAAGGACAAAACACTGCAAGATATTCTGTGCAAGCATGCAGAGTGTGCATATTGAACAAAAGAAAGTAAAACTGAGTGTGATAGAAATTTCCAGCTTCCCAAGAAACCCCTCTGCTACATCTAGTTTGTTGTTTAATAAATGTATCTGTACAATTCCAGAAAGCTTTACTGTACAAGCAGACTGTTAAGAGCTTTAGGACTTACACTAGCAATTTCTAAGACAATAACAGTCATGGATGGAAACAAGAGTTGAGCAGAGAGTATGAAATATCAGCCTTCAAACAGTAGTTTGGGTTTTGGTGGTTTTTAAAAGAGTTAAAAAGCTATTTTCATGTGCATGAAAGCCTTTATTTTCTATTTCCTCTAGAAATTAATGCAGTATAGAAATTCTACTTACCATGACTTGGCAAGCACAACCTAGCAATTAGCTCGGGAAGCACGGTGTCCCCTAGCTGTGTGTGTACACACATTACTTACAGGAGGTGCTTTCCCAAAAGTGTAATAGGGGCAGAAAAAGACTGAGAGCAGCCAGAAAAAGAACTCAGCAGACGAGACAGGAAAACTTGCCCATCAGAAATGGTGATGAGGGTAGGTTTCATTTCCAGCCCTGGTTTACAAATGCCAATCAATCCAAGCTGAAATTTATAAGCACAATCCAACAGTTTGGCAGACAGGCAAGTAATTAAGGTTCACTTGTCTGGAACACAAGTTTGGTTGTTTTGGGCTGTAAAAGCAGTTCTCTTCTTTGCTATAACAGAACCTTCTGACTTTATAAGACAGGTCTGCTCAGTGATCAAGCACAAGACCTTCAGCAATTTCCCCAGAACCGTCACGTCTTCTGCTGTGGTCCAGAAGAATATAAAGCTCACACAGAATCAACAGCACCACTTGGTTTTACATGTTTATTGCAAGAGATTGATTAAATCAGCATTAATGCTAGACCATCAGCTAGGAAACTGTTTCACCACCATTTCAGGTAAAATTACATGACCTCTAAGTCTCTGGATTTCCTATCTGTAAAATGGCAATAAAAGTTGATCACTTTTATAGCAGTGTTTTGATGGCCTCAGAAGAAAGTCAATGTCTAAAGGGCAAGTGAGTACTATTCATCCTAAAATGCTAATACGTAGCGTTACTTGTCAGTGCTTCTATTATCCAACATGAAAAGCATATTTTTTAGCATCTCTAAAAATACGAAAGGATTTTTTGTCAAATTTCCTTCATAGAGAGTACTGACAGCTCTCAGTGCAGTAAGCCAAGCCTGATTTTTGCACTACATCTGCAATATCTTTTATACTTGGGCAGCTGGCACAGAGTGAGAAAATTCATTAACATGCTAATGATGTGTCCTATTTAAAATTCCAGCTCTGATTATTGTGTGATTAAGTCTCTTCCCTTGACGTCTGCTTCCTTATATCTGCATTACTGTGAGAAATCAACAATTATTAATGAAATAAAAAATAGGTGACCAATTTATACAAAAGATAAAGACAAACATACACACATATTTTAGCATTTAATTTTTTTTTTTGTCTAATTACTCTATACAAAAGAGTATTATGTTCAGAAAAAAAAATAATCTAAGTTTTCAAGAAGCTCACAGGCACAAAACAACAATTCAAGTGCCACATGACACAGAAATAGACATGTATAGGACCAAACCCTAACCTAGTGCACGGGTTGGGCAGGAACACATTAAAAAAGGCAGAACTGCCTTTCTCTGCAGCAACACAGATTTTATTGGCATAAATAAAAGAACAGGCCTAAGGCTGTGATGTAAGTCAGGTCAGCTACCCTAACTCAAATCACACCTTTCACAGTGCAGAAAAAGCCAACACAATTATCTCCAGTTCTTTCAAACAACAGCAAAACCAAAAGGCAACAAAATTGTATTCCAATTCTTTATGCTTTACTCTCTAAACGTACAATTGCTGTGCAAAAGAATACTGTTCCATAAAGGTGGCCTCTTTTCCTCAAGACACCATCTGCATACTGTTTTCCAGAGAGTATCTGGAAGCTTACATTCAATTAAATGAGTTGATATCAAACTCATGCCAGTGTTCTCAAATATTTTCATTTTTTAAAGGAGAAAATAAGGTTGATCACATGTAAAGGAGGCAGGGAGGACAAAAAGGGAAGATGTCAGGTCTCAATTTATGTATCTCTGACTAGCATCTGCTTGACGGTATTTTATTTTAACACAAGTATAAATTTCTCCTTATGCCTACAGAATTGCAGTAAATTAAAGGAAAATCTACAGAATACTTTGTATACTTTTGAAGTATTCAAAATATTTTGAATCTACCCAGTATTTTGAAATTTATTGTCACAAACTGTGGTACATTAGAGGTCAGGTAAAGAAGGTATCTCCTTTCAGGTGTATAAATGCAAAAGGGAAGAGTCTATGAACTTATAACATTTCTGTTGCTTCAGCAAGCATCTTGCACAGACTTGATTTAAAACCCTACTAAACTGAAACACAAATAAGAATGTACATGTATATTATAGGAAGTTTATTGTCCTAAAATAAAAGAGAAACAAAATGGGCTGATTAGAAGGTCAGAATCTTTTCAACTCTCTTGAAAATCCAAGGAAAGAAGAAGCATTGCCTGATGTGCATTTCTGGGTTTGTATCACAATGCACTAAATTTGAGGAACCATTTTTTAAAATTTTATTTATATTCTAGAAATGCAAGTTCTTATCTAGAAGTGTGTGTGTATATATATTATTCTTTGCATTTTTAAAACATTGTCTTAGATGTATCAAGCTGCCTACCAATCTTTTTGTTTCTAAGACAGCTCTGCTTATCCACTTGCCTATGAAGAAAATTCATACGCTTCTAAAACAAAGGCACCTTCCTGTCTCCACCCAACCTACTGCTCATAAGTTCCTGAAAAAGGAAAGACATTTCAAAATCCTAAAGCTTTAAAGTAGCTCTCAGTATTGTATTTAGTTTAGAGATAATTAGAGTAACTGTACATTTGTAGTCAATCAAATATCTCTAAGCCTTTTCATTTAAGCAAGCAGCAAGGCCATTTTATCTGCTTCAACTTCAGGAGTGAGTACAGCAGGTAAGAGAGTAAGTCAAGTCTAGGAATGACTTTGCTATTTGATAATCTGTCAATAGCTTTCCCAGTAATTGCAGACAACCTCCCCAATTCCACCACAACACTACAACCCAAGCACACTGCTCATAGTTGTGTGAGAGCAGCACTTGGCAAGTTGTTTAAACTCCCCCTCAAACACAAATTTACTATGAAAACTCTTGCTTTCAGAATCAGGAATCTCTTGCACCTCATACATTCAGAGCCACCACCAAATGTGTTATATATATATATATGTACTAAACATGTGGTTTTATGTACTAAAAATGTTCCTATTGTCACACATCCACTGCTTCTGCATAAGGACTGCATGTTCCTCTGTATGGGAACACAAGCACAGCACGATCAAATCTGCGATAAAAACGGGCTTAGAAAAGAAAGGTTTTGAGAACTGGGCTAAGACAGATTTCAAAAAGAGGTGTATTGCTGGGGTATCTCTTGTTCCTCACAGCCTCCCCCAACACCAGAGGAAGGATGAGAGAATATTTAACATACTGCTTCTCTAGGTCATTGCCAGACTTTCCTCAAAGCAACCAGTATGTTTTGTGAAATGCAGAATGATTCATCAAACCCAGCACATCTCCAGGAGATCAAATCTGAGCAAAAAGCTGTAACAATCTGTAAACTACTCACCAAAGGCAGTCTCTCCTTGTTCAAGTTCTTGTTTCAGTCTGGTGTAATCATCTTTAATTCTCTCTAATTTTCTTGTATTTCTGGCACTCAGAACCAACAGTTCATTGAGAAGTCCTTCCAGTCCCTCTTTCTCAGATGTTAATGATCTTATTTCTTCTGCTAGATCCTTCGCAGTGCCAAAATTACTTCCTGCATGTTTTGTGGGGGGCAGGGGAAGAAAGAGGAAAAAGACAATGAGGCAGACACTTGCAACATCAGTAGCTTACACAGCAATCCTGGGAAATTAGGCAATTATACTCAAAGGGGGGAAAAAAAAGAAAAACTGCTTTGCAAGCATCCATCTCATTAATATTACAAGAATAATAATTATAGCTGATTTAACCTTGCACACACAGAAATGGTATTTTTCTTTAATTATTGATACAATTTACATTTTTTCAGGAAATCTGTTCCAAAGGGTTTGCACTTCAAATAATGCCACACTGTAATTCAATGGTTGTTACAGTGTGATCTATCAGACCATTTTCTTTTTTTGGAGGACCCCTCAACGCACAGTACATTTGAAATAGAGGCTGTCCACCTGCTGGACCCTGAAGTCCTTCCTCCCCGAACAAAGCAGGCCTGTGCTGGTTTTCGTAACAAGCACCAGAAGGTTGTTTATGAATGACACATTGCATTTCTTAAACAGCCTGCACCTCAAGAAAAGACCATGAGGAGATATTCTTCTCAGAGAACACATTCAGAAGGCAGAGCTCTTCACTTCAGGCTCTCCCTGAAGCACGAAACATCACAGACAGGCAGAACGTCTTGGCAGTACCAGCTCACACTGTTATGGAATTTTTTTAAACGTCTGCTTCCTTTGGACAGGGATGCAGAGTAAAAAGTTCAACACCCAAGTGGTTTAGAGTGCAGCCTAGTAACATTTATCTACTTAACTGTTCTGAAAACCACTTTTATAAGCAGCTGGAAAGGAATGTTTCCTTACTTTGCAAAGAAGTCTTTTGTAATAAATAGAAAAGGACAGTGAGATATTCAGCCATTAAATTACTTTAAATAGCAGTAGAGTAACAATGCTACATAAACATAACTGTACTAGAATCATTTTAATGATTGAGATACTTGGCTGGGGGGAAAAAAACCAAACCAAAATATACACACAAAAAAGCCAAACCCCACCATCACACTTAAATCTAAAGAATTCTTGATAAAAATAATTTCCATATAGAATTGTCCAATAAAAGAAAGAAGAACTTTAGCATAAGGCTTAAGCTGTGATATCATCTTAAATTAGCAAAAAAAAAATGGTGATATGATCTAATAAGTGTAGGTATTTAGTAAGTAAAGGCACTTGGAAGATTTAGCCTTGAAGCAAATATTAACATAAAACAAATCCAGTCACACAAATATCTCATCAGCTTCTGAGGTATGTGTAATGACTTTAGACTCCTGAAATCACTTTATAATACCACCAGTATTATTCAGATGTAACGGTTTATTTTTGTTTTTGTTTGTACAATATGATACACTGTTGCTCAGACACAACATATCAATAGAAAAGTTTATTTTCAAATATTAACATACAATTCAAACAATCAAATCCACATCAGAATATCCTGAATTATGGCATTACATCTTTTTGACCTGGAGTCAAACTGTTGGTCACAAAGCCTTAAAAGGAAACAGTTTGGCTGCTGTTCAGTTTCTTCAAGGCAAGGAAGCAAGAACAGGATGCAAGTGTTCACACTGGTCAGAAGATGGCAAACCACCACCAGCAGCTGCCAGGAGAGGTTCCATTCCTCCAGAACGCCAGAGAGAACAGGAGCACTTCCACCAAACACCTACAGCCACTCTCCTGGAGCAAAGGCACTGTTGTAAACTCAAGTGGCTCTATGAGGGCAGGTGTGCCAAAGGGAGTCTTGCACTTACCAAAATTTTGGAAAATACTTCATCAAATAAGTCAGGTTTGAAGACTGAACATTGCTAAGCATTTGTTTTTTTTGGTGGTTTCTTTAGTCCTAAGGCTATGATAGTTTCATTCAACCTCTTCCTCATTTAAAGGTGACATTTTCTTGTTTCTTTTTAACAGGCCAAAAGTCCTTCATTTCTAATTCCCAATTAAAACCCTATTTGCCACTTCTGTCTTACAATTACAATTAAATAACTATAAACATGCTTTACAAATTGTAGGATCATATAGCTTACCAGAGCTTTACTGGGAAACAGCAGCACAAATGTTATTACCCTAATTTGTCATGTTTCCAAATGGGCAAAACAAAGCAGCAAAATAAGCAAGACAGAATCACTGAAAAAATTGCAAATATTCAGATGCTTCTAAGGAAACAAGACTTGAGGCCACCTTTATCCACCTGAACTCATCCCAACCATCAAAGCACAGGAGCCTTAATAAAACATGAAGGTGAGAAAAGCTTCATCAGAATCTGGAGCCTGCTGTTACATTTCAGAGGACAGCAAGGAAAAAGGTATGATATTGCATATGCAAGTTTTATATATACTGAATGGATCTGAATTCCCAGAGGAGAAGTTTATATCGAAACTGAGGCTATAAGGAAATGGCACCAGATAGAAACCCAAAAGCAAAAGACACCCTACCCACTGCAGCTTCCCATGACAGCAAAAATGTCTGCAAGTCTGCAGTGAAAATTCAGAAGAGCATATACATACTCAGGCATCACAAGTACCATTATCAGTGAGCTCTGACCTTAGTCCCAGTAACCAAAGTTACTGCTTTCTACATGCCATAAGAAGGTTGATTAAAAAATTAATATATAATCCATAGCTGCTAGCACTGAAAAACATGCCCTTCTGGGCTGGTTTTTTGTTGTGGTTTGGTTTTTTTTGTTGTTGAGATGTACAATGGATGCCATACAAACATTCTGAAGACATATGTCAAGATATTTTATTCTGCTAATGCTCTCAAAGTATTAAAAAATCCTCTTTTTGATAATTTAATAATTAGTTTGCCTAAGTGAACACAGTAACTGTTACTTTGTCAACCACTGGGAGCTATGTTTTACACAGCCATACCAGTGAGAGGCTTCTGGTTGGCTGATGTTAGTTAAGTCAGTCTAACTCTTCCCAGGAAACTCAAAAACCATGCAGCCAATAGCACTGCTTGCTCAGAAAATACATACAGAGAAAACAAAGCTAAGGAATTAACACTCTAAGACCAAAGCTGAGATTCTGGTCTAAGCCAGAACATGGGACAGAGATTCTGTGAAGGTGACTGAAGAGCAAGATGCCACTTTTCCCATCTTTCTTTGTGTTTCACAGTGATGCTTGCTACAGATGTGCAATTTTAGCCACTGCATCCATGTCCATATAAACACACCGGGTGAAAACTGGGGCAGGAAACTTGCAGTACCCAGTGCTCTGAACAGGTAATGTACTTGCAGTGCACTATCATAAGGAATTGAGCATGTACACTTCACTTTGAGGCACTGAACATTACCATTATCTCAAAAGACAGCAACAAAAAAAGTTAAATCTTCCTCCTTCATCTTGCCCTCTGGGCGTCTCTCCTCCCATGCATCCTTCATCCTCGACAGAAAGTGACATCAGGTAAGCTCCAGCAGCTTGATGTGAATGCCAAAAATACCAGCCAAATCGAACACAACAACCCACACAGGAAAAATAGTATTTTTTTTTTAAATCTCCAGGCAGAAAGTAGCTATAGAATTGCTTTTACTTAGTGTAAACATTAGTATGTTTCCCTTATTTCCTGTATTCTTAAAATTTTACTTGTATGGTTACAGCTAAATAGTACTCTGCACATCAAATATATTTTCTATAGATTTAACCACAAACTCATGCCCATTATAACAACTCATTGTATTTTTTACTGTATTGGGCAGATTGTTGCCCATTTAGTAGTCATGAAGTAAAATATTATCATTTTGATACCATTTGCCAGCAACAAATTGATTAAAAATGCAGCTTGAAATCTGTGTGATTTTACCAAAAAAACAAGAAATATGTTATTGATTACACTTTATTAAATATTTCCCTCTTCAAAATATAAGACAAAGTTAAGGGTCCACAAATTTTTTACTCACAATTTTTCTCAAATTTATGGCAGAAGTTATATACATTCGTAGTTACCATTATTTATACTTGAAGCAGAGAGAGAAGTCTAAGTCCCACTGAAAATATATTCACTGTAGTACAAACAAAAGAGTAATTTTTTTCATTAATAATAAAGCATATCTATTTGACACTAGCCTAAATGTAACAAGGAATAGACTGGTCATTCTTTATCATTATCTACAAATTAATTCTTCATATACTTACAGCACTACCTTTAATAATTAATAAGTGAAAATTTGCATTTTAGCTTAAGGCATTCGCCACCATAGTATTTCTCAATGGTACTGGAATTCAAGGCTGAAAATCTTCCACCCTGTGATTAATGAGGTTACAAAGTGATTTCAACACCACAAAAGAAATTGAAGAAAATAAATATCATTCGCCTACACACAAAGGAAAGGGGAAAAGCTAAGGACATGACAGAAATGTAAGATTCTGGAAGGACTGCCAGTGTGTTTGCACCTTTGAAAAAATAAACTGCAAATGAGGGACAGTCTACCATCTCCTGAAACATTTTACAGAAATCCAGCACATTTGAATTGCAATTATTGTTTTTAAGCAATAACACATGTCAATGCTTTTATGAAGCATAACACAACTACATGATTGATATGATTCTGAAAGGTAAATATCAGCTAGAAGAAGGTGAGAGACCCCACAGACATACATTTGGATGAGCAATTCTCAGTCACAGAGTGCCTCTTGTACCTGGACTGAATCTGTCACCATGGAACAACTCAGGAATAATTTAAAAAAAAAAAAAAATGAGGGGGCGGTGGGGTGCACAAATAAATAAACCCCAAAATAATAATATTTCAAATCAGTAGTAACAATGGAGAGAGAGAGACATCACTGTCCCCTTCCATAAGTGTTTTCTCTCATGCACTCCAGACCACAGCACAACCTCTCTACAGGGTGATAGCACCTTCTCTTCACAGTTCTCCCATAAAACATGTCTCCTTTGAGCACAAAACCACAGAAAAGCACCTGCCAAAGAGATAACTTGACCTTCTCTCCTGCTCCAGGGACAGCTGCTTAGGTAAGAGGAGTGAAAGAGAGTAAATTTTTTCATGACTGACTTCTCC